TACTGGGTAGTTAAAAAAAATATAATCTACAAAAGGCATTTACGTTGTATTCATCATGTAATTTTACTACAAGCATTTCCACCTTGCATAAATCTAGCAAACATCAGGTTATCAATAAATGTCTGAACACCTCATAAAAACACCCATCTCCATGTTGAAAAAATGTTTTTCTGCAATATTCTAAATTAAAAGTAGGTAATATTTTTTTTTTTTTTTAATTCAGATTAGATAAACTCTAAATCAGTTAATCCCCCTCAGATAAAGTTTCAGAAAAGTTTATTTTACTTTTGGAAGATTTTTTTTAATAAAAGCCACCCTATTGGGCAGCATATAAGCTAGCTCCTGCAGAGAGCACTTGATTGGGCCTTCATCACAATAGGTACAGAGGAATAGATGTGATAGGCAACAATAAACTACAAAAGAACTCAAAATTCATTGCTACATTTAAGTATTGCATTAATATTTAAGGTTACCTTTTAAAAGTTCAATGATAATTCTTCTGCTGCCGCTTAATTTGAAGACAATTTGATGTACGTAGGTCTTTACTTTTCATACAAGCAATTATCTTTATTTCATGGATGACTTTCACTGGATTTTGCAATTAATTTTGATTATTCCCAAATTTATTTTCAAGTTATAAAAATTGTTATCACACAAAACAATTTGTTGCGAAAAAAAAAAAAAAATCATGTAAGAGAAAAAAAGAAATTGCCAGAAACAATCAGAGTTATGAAAACTTAGGAATCCCAAACTTCAGGATTGCAGATCCATAATTGACCTGGAATGTTTTTAATTTGATCACGGAGTTGGCCTGATTCCAAAATGGTATGATATGTTGTGCTACAACCTCTAGGAGTAAAGTTAAGAGTGTGACACAGTGACACACTGATATTTGCATTTATTATATAGAGGACAGATTTTTCAATATGGCCGATTTTAGCAGTTTTAGAGATTTCAAACAAAATATCATTCCAGCCAATTTATATTCAGTTTGAGATACAGCAAAGTATTTTGCTTTTTGGAAATATTAAACTTCAGCTATTAGAATATTAATACCATCACCTCTTCAACTTCCAGCATCCATATTTGTGCCAATCTCCTTTCACAAAAACACACATCACTATTGGTGACTTTTCTTAATGACCACTAGATGGCATTGTTTAAAGTTCTTTAAAAGGAAATGGCTAACACACATACACATTGATCTCTCAACCTTAATTCTTTACATTTTTTTGCACCTTTTTATATATTCTTCGACATCTCTTGAATATCCTGGCCCCCATGCTTCTAATTTTATCCTTTTTTGTGTGGCCACTACTCCACAGTACATATCATCATGTACACTTTTTATTACCAATTTTCTTTGTGTTTCTGGGGGAACTACCAGATCCCCATTACAAATCACTCCATGTTTTATCGTTAATTTGTGTCTTATTTCTTTGTAGAGTCTTTCCGCCCTAGAACAATTTCCCCATGAGTTTTTTTCTTATTCTCGATATTATCCTACTTAGTACTGGATCATGTCTAGTTTCTGCAGCCATTCTATCTAAAGACAAAACATCAGTCTCTACCCAATGTAAGATTGCATCTTCAAATTCTTCTGTTTTATCTTTTGACTCCTTGTAAAATTGCAATCTTGATAGTGCATCTACGTGTAGAATTGAATTTCCTTTGACATAGTCTATATCAAAGTCAAATGCCATTAATCTTATTGCCCATCTTAGTATCCTCGATGTCTTTCCTTGGGTTAAATATAAACTCTAATGGTCTATGATCACTGCTTAACAAAAATCTTTTCCCAATTAAAAATTGTCAGGCTCTAGTAGTTGTCCACACAATAGCCAATGCTTCTTTCTCTATATTTGAATAATTAAATTCAGTGTTTGTTAGTCTTCTTGCTAAATACATTATCAGATGTCCTTCTTGTGATAATATTCCCGATATCGAATGTTCGCTTGCATCTGTGGTTAGTGTAATGTCCTTTTTTGGATCAAACATTTTCACTACTGGTTTCTTTGCCATAATTACTTTTAATCTATCAAAAGCTTTTTGCTGTTCGTCTGACCACATAAATTCTACATTCTTTTTTCTTAAATTTGCAAACGGTTCAGTCAAGTCTGTGTATTTTGGTAAGTATCGCCTGTAAAAATTTACCAATCCCAAAAAAGACTCCATTTCTTTTTTATTTTTAGGTGTAGCCACTTTTAGTATTTTTTCTATCAAGGCTTGGTCTGGTGATATACCTTCTTTTGAAATGGAATAACCTAAAAATGATATTTTACTACAATTGCTTACTGATTTTTTCTCATTTAATTCATTTTCATTAGTAGCGCCTATGCATATTTCGTCTTGGTAACAAATCATATTTTTCATATTTTCTAAAACCTGTTCGATGGCCCTTTGAAATATACGTTCCCAAAAACTTTTTGGTATCAGCATTACTTCACTCCCAGTATCAATTTGCATATCTAAATTGCAGTTGTTGATTTTAACCTTTAGTATAATATCTTTTTTCTTTTGTTCAATTACTTCCATATTGGTTTCATTTTCTTCAACTCTTTCAACGTTTTTCTTTTTGAATTTGCATACTGCTTGAAAGTGGTTCTTTTTTAAACAATTTGTACAGGATTTTCCAAATGCTGGGCATTTTTCCCTTATTATTTCATGTTTACGTCCACAATACGAATATTTTCTTATCTTTTTTAACATGTACGTATTAGTGAAAATTTGTTCGCTGGATTGACTTTTATGATGGTTGTATTTCTGTATTAATTCTTGTTGCTGTATAAAGTCAATGCATGTATTTAAAGACATATTTCCTATTTGTAGTTGTTCCATTATTTTATATTGGTGTGATGCCTTGTACATATCTTCAATTAATCTTAATTGAATCAAGTCCTCTTCAATAGTCTGTTAGTCTTGTCCGAGTTTTTCAAATTCGCAATATCTACTTGCATTTCGTAGACGGTGTAAATATTTTATAATTTGTTCGCCAATTTCTTGTTTCATCGACATGAACTTCGTTCTTTCTGCCACTTACCAGCCTTTTCTTGGGTCTCATATTTCTCCTGATAATCTGACTTATTTTTTCGAAAGTCAGGTTTTCCAAATTTAAGGGATATGCCATGGTGGAGACTTTCATTACCGCCTCGCATCCAGCTGTAACCAAAAATAAATCCATAATTTCATTTTCGCCTCCTTTCTCCTTGTTGTCTTTCAGCTTTTTAATTCTTGCACTGGCAGAAAAACAATGAATCCATGCATTCACAAAATCTGAATCTTCTAGAGACAAATGGGATCCTATCGGCGACGCCATTGATGTGAAGTCGAAGTTTAGCACTAGTCAGTTGCTAAGCTGGTCTTCGTCCCACGTTATTCTCAGTGACGAGTTATATAGGCTTTCTCTTGCACTTATGCAAATTAGGCATATTAATTTGTCAGTGTCACTACAAAATTCTTATAATTACAGTAGATAGCAAAATATTTCACTGAATATTAGCAGTAGTATACAACAACAAGCAATAGGGAAAAAACTGAATGCATTCTGGCAGAAACTGGTATTTCAATAAAAACAATACACTGACAGACTACTATACATAGCAAGTAGTAAAAAAAAAAAAAAATTATCTGTTTAATCATCAGCCACAAAACCTCGATCGTCTCCTATTCGTGACTGTATTAGGAGGCGTAGGGCAGTTTTTTGTACATTTAAAAAGAAAACGCGTAAAAAAAAAAATCCCTAAGAAATCATCTTTAGGAGGACGAATGACTTAGGAATATTTTTTACGGGGTAGCGAAGCAGCTAGAAACTCACTGACAGCTGAAACTAGACTTTTCACTTTCAGCCAAAGTCAATCAATATAGGCTTCGCTTTTATTTCCTCTTCAATCTTCATCAATAAAAAGTTAAAAACCAAATAATGACATTTTTACAAACCGGCAGTTCAATTGTAAATTCGTGAATTTTTTTTTTCATTTGTATGAACATTTCAAATGAAGGCTGTTTTTTAAACACTAGTAAAAACAGTGTTTACTACGAACACATTGTTCTTTAAAAAACAAACAAAAAGAACTTTGTTGTAGATAGAAATATAAATTACACCTTTAAATTTTATTATATAATTATTGTTGAAAGAATTTTTTAATTATTTATTATGCCCATGTCGCACAAATTTGACATAGGATTGAGTTTTATATGGATTACTGAAAAATTGATTAAGTCCACTCAGCATTTCTCCTTTCGGGGATGCCTCGGCTGCCGGATAATAACTCCCAGCCCCCTTCCGAAAGAGGGGTACTAACTGGGAGGGAGGGGGGGAGGAATGTTAATTTGAAAACTTCCCAGCCCGGTTGAGCCAGGTAATTATTTTCCATATGAATTGTAAACGTCGCTATAAATTAAAACACTTTAAAGAAAGCAAATATCTTGAAACATGAAATTTAATTATTAGATAAAAAAAAAAAAAAATCATAAAATCCACGCTTTTTCAACCTGTGCTAATTTGATATACGATGCAATGAAAATCAATAATTTTTACTTTTGTTTTACATTTTCAATATGTGGAAAACTTGCCACAAAGAATGGCGTTAATTACCGAAAAATGCAAGGTAAAAAAAAACAAAAAAAACATAATATATTTTTTTTAATAATGGAATTAATAGAAAAATATTCAAATTTTCATGTTTCTTTTATTATTGCATTTTTTTTAGCACTCTCTCTAGCAGCTAGCTAGTTACAGTAGAAAAGTTTTACTCGTCTTCTCAACTGAACAGAAAGGTTAAAAGTTGAAAAGTTTAGCTGAAAAATAAGGCAAAAATCTACTCACAAAAAAAAGCCTGATAAAAAAAGGCCATATACGACATACGCTCTTTCCAACTAAATATCGCTTCGTGAAGGACGAATTTCAGATAAATCGAGGTAATATTTAATTTAATTTAATTTATTGTGTATGTGTGTGTTACGTTAACTTTTAAAAGTTTAAAAACAATTGAAATTTTTACCTGTTTATCCCTCCAAACGCTGTGCATTTTTTAAATGGTAGAGAAACGAACTGTGCGAACACTTTTTCTCCCCACTCAAACTCGAGACGAAATGTTCCACTGTATTCTCACGCTCTAAAAGTTTGTGCCAATTTTCCTAAATGATATGATGTTTCTTTTTTTCTTTTTTTAGCTCCTGATTAAAAAAGAAAAGAAAAGTAGGACACAACTATGTGGCTCAAGAAAAATTAAAAAGTTTTTTAGAAAATAATTTTTTTTGTACATTTGTTGCCTTATTTAGTTTTAGACATTCCTTTGGCTTCGGCTAATTGTTTTTATTTTAAAATTTTTCTTTTTTTATGTTATTATATGGCTTTGAAAAGTGATTTTTTGTGAACGTAATTGATAAAATTAGCTGTTTTTCAGTTAGTTTTACTGTCGTTTGAAATTTTCCAAAACCTTCCTCTTAAAAACAGTTTTTCAGAAAAATAAATACGTTTCTTAAGTCCGTTAACCATTATGCTCTTTTATTGGAATTTAATTTGAGAACAATATTTTACAAGTTTTTGGACTATATCGAGACTGGAAAGGGAAGAATGGCGGCTCCTGGCAACAATACTCCATTTTCAGCCTGATCTGGTTCTTAAACTGTAAAGGCAGATGATAGTAAGAGGAGTCAGGTACACAGAACCAACCATTTTTCCAGCATCTTTGGCGATGGATTGTATGTATAAGTTCCACTTGAGGTCTGGATTGAGTTTGTTCCAATAGGTGTTCAAGGCACGGGACCTCTGTGAGAGAACATTCGTTCGTCATGATTGGAGGAAAATATAGAAAAGAACACAATTTTAGTATCCTGCTACCTCTTTCTTATCAATGTTGAATTTTGTACAATTTTGTGCCAAAAGTGAATCCAGAGCTTACCCAGCTTCATACAGATTTTCAGGAAATATCACCTTTTAATTGGTCAATAAACACACAAGTGGTCGTTGTCCACCCATATACAAATATTTTTCCCAGCGCGTGACCAAGTCAAGTTTTCCCGCCAATTTTCTGTGATCCTGTCATGTGGCTACATTAATTATAAATAGCAGACACGAGCTTCTCTCTCTCTCTCTTGTTCCCTTTTCCTGCGAAGATGTAACCTTAAGGATTTCTGTCTTGACCAATATGCAGTCAGATGTTAAATGCATATTCACACATGCACATACGTACGAAATTTTCCAAACTACATTACAAACATACAGAACATTTCAAACAAACAACAACTTTTCTCTTTGAAATACTTTTCTAAAGCTACAGTTTATTCACATTTTTCAGCTTCATAATTCATTCAACTTTTGTGAGCTCAGATAAAAAAATTAAATCAGTCAAAGGGACATAACATCAACAAAATATTAACTTCTACGCATGTACATCATTACACAAAAATAAATATAAATGTTTCTTGTTATAAAAACCGTTTTTATTCCTTCTTGTGTTTCATATTTTGTGATATTTTACATTAAATATAAATCATGTGGTCATGTTAATAACAGACATCTACAAATGGTCCATTCTTATTAACATACCTCAACAAATGGTAACCCCAACGTTTGAAATGGGCGAAAAACGCCAATAGTCTTCAACAAATGGTAACCCTGACATTTGACATGGGGCAAGAAAAAGCCAATAGTCCACAACACAAACACTAGAAAAAAGTTGCAAAATGCCAGAGAATACGGAATTACATTCAATCTAGAGAAATGTGAATGTGAGAAGAAAGAAGTTAGATTTTTTTGGACATCTATTTCAGGCCAGGATCAAAAGAACAAGTGAGAACTTTTCTTGGAATGACTGGATATGTTGACAATTTTAAAGATAATTACGCAACCGTAATCACGCCTCTAAGGAGATTAACTCAAAGCAAATTCAAATAGAATAGAGAAGAGAAAGAAGCATTCAAAAACTGAAATTAGTAATAACAAACCACATGGCATATTTCAACCCAAAGCCAATTATACTACAGACAGAAGTTAGTTTCTGTGAGGGACTAAGTGCCATATTATTTCAAAAAGGACCAAGAAGATGACAGCCAGGACATTTCATCAATAGAAGCTTAAAAAACGCAGAGAAACAATACAGTCAAACAGAGAAAAATGCATTAGCTGTGAAATGGGCATTAGCTTGACTCAGAAACTACCTAATAGGGATATCAAAATTCGCAATAATAACATCATATAAACCCTTCGTACCAATGGTGGCATTCTAAATTTCCAGGAATCGGTTCTATAAATTCAGGAACCTATTCTGTTTATTTTTTTTTCAATCTGAGAATGGAAACAAATCATTTTATAGTATCAAAAAGAATTAAACGATTTTGATAATTTAATATAAAACATTTATTTTATTAAGATATTTCCAGATTGAAATTCTGTTCTCATCATATTTCTTTTCAGAAGTAGGATGCTCTTTAATTCTAGTGTCATCAGCTGTGTTATGGTTTCTTAGCCACATTGGAACTGAATCGCTGCAGATCCTAAGATCCAATGGAAGATCTATCAAAATTATGATTAGAAGATTTACCACATTTTTAACTTCAAAATTGTGTCTATTAGAGTTTCACTAGTTAAATATTTTATCACAAATTTGTACCGAACTGTTCATCGACACTTCTTCCATTAACAAATCTCTCACAGAAGAAAAATAAAAGCATTAAAGGATGCTTTAGATACATTCAATGCCACTAAATACACATGCCAATTTTATGAAACTGCCATCCATTGACAGTGATCCAGAAATGAAAATCCTGCTAACTGCAGATACATCTGACACAGCCACTTGTAGGTAGAGTTATTGCGCAATAAGTAAATTTACAACAAAAATCAATTTTTTTTTCTCAGCCAATCAGGATACAGTACTTTATTCCTGGAGCTACTAGTGATCTACCTATCAGGTTTCAGACATCTGTCTGATTTCCGCTTAGTAACAGTGGCCACAATCTTAACAACGTAAGATATGCAGATGACACAGCGTTGATAGCAGACACAGAAAGAAAACTACAAAAACTTCTACAGAAAGTAGTGAAGGAAAGCAAGAAGAAAGGATTAAACATCAACTGTAAGTAGACATAATACATGGTTGTTAGCAAAAGGGATGAGCCCAAAGTGCAAATTGCAAGTCGACGATACCAAAATCAAACAAGTGTGGAAATTTAAATATCTGAAAGTGTGACACTGAAATCCAAAGTTGCATTGGGATAAACAAAAGTGCCTTCCAAAAACTAAGAAGAGTATTAAGAAATAGAAAAACTTTGCTAGAAACAAGGAAAAGAATAATGAATGTCTATTGGATATCTGTCCTCCTGTATGGCAGTGAGGGTTAAACAATCTCCTCAAAGATGAAGAGGAAACTTGAAGCATCATAAATGTGGATCTGCAGAAGGATGCTGAGGATACCATGGACTGAACATGTGAGCAACAAGAAAGTTTTAGAGAAAATGGAAACAAAAAGGACACTTATACTTAACTTCAGGAAGAGACAGTTGAGGTTTCTAGGGCACATAATGAGGAAAGAGGGCTTAGAAAATCTGATACTCACAGGATAGATTGAAGACAAGAGAGACAGAGGAAAACAACTCATAACATATTTATTGAGTAAAAGGATGGTGGAATAGGGTTTAGGAGAAATAATATTAAGAGCTATAGAGGACAGGAAATTGTGGAGAGCCATGATCGCCTACATCCTGAGGGAACACAGCACATAAAGAAAGATAGTGATGTCACATAGTTGCATTTATACATACAAACATCAGATAACTTTTTAAAAAGCCCGCCAAGTTTTGTAGAGTAATAAAGTGGTTCCACTATTAATCATTGAATCGCATTGACTTGTTTTTTTTCATGCTCTTGACAGCACTAGAACTTGCAATATGATCACAATAAGGATCACATAAAATGAAGGTCTATGAAATCTGCTTCTGTGTTAAATGTTCATATCTAAACATGGTCTGTTTATCTATTTGATTTAGTGTAAAGTTACCGACAAAGAAACAAAAAAAAAAGCACTCAGAAAAAGTCATATTGTAATGTACAGTATCATAACCTAAACATGTCTTTTTCTTCTCAGATCAATGATTAAAAATGGCTTCAAGTGAATGAACCCTGTAAGATATTCATTATCCATCATCAGACCTTGTAGATTGGTGTTACAGAAACACAAATAACTTTACCAAATAACATAAATATTTTAATGCCAATTGTTCTGGTGAGCCTTCCTCCTTGGTGCTTCAACTGAATGAATTGAAGCATACTACTAGATTGGCAACTAGGTCTCACTGTTTTATTGTTGAACTAGCTAGATGCAACTGTAAGTACTATTTGAACAGTTTCTTTCCTTACACATCTTGCTTGTGGAACTCCATTCCAATTTCTTGCTTTCCTGATACCTAAAAGTGTCAAAAATGTAAATACAACAGCAATTGCCATATTCGGTCTTCCTGGAACCTGTTCTTTTATTGTCCTTCTCCTCACTAAAGTCTTCTCATTCTCTTTTATTCCCAGTAACCGCTTGCAGACCAATGACATTATGTCTTGCTTGTGGTGAAATGATTGACAAAAAAAAAACACTTGAAGATGAATAGCACATGTTTGCACATGTTACTTGAAGAAAAAATAATGACAGAATCAAGATGTTGACTTTCCGCACTAACTTAAACTACAGGAAATAAATCCTATTTCTGACAGGATTACATACTCACATATATTAAAATGCACCCAAACTTTATTTTCTATTTTTTTAAAGTTTACACCAAAAATGTATACAAACAACATAGATCGTATAAGATAGATTATGTTGAATTAAAGGCTTAAAGAATTAAGCCAATGTTTAATTAAATAAAATAAATTAATAAAATTGAATTAACAATGACTTAATAGAACATACTTTCAGTAATATTTGACTGAATTGTATTTACTTACTACTTATTTACTTGTATATACTTACTACTTTTGTAAGTAGTTTCCTTTTCCAGTTGGCATATTCTCATATTAAGTCATTTTCATTTATCA